GATAGGAAGCTCAAAGATGTTTATGGGAACAATTATAAGATTCCATTGGATCGTTTGACTAGCCTCCAGCTTGGGTATGAGGTCATTCAGTCAGGAACTCGCTGATGAGGTCTTAACTAACTACAAAAATGGAAAGAGATTCATATACGAGCATGTCACTCATCTCAAGACAATCTCGATAGATCAGGGATCTGACACAATAGACAATAAAACAGTAAATACCCCAAAGAGATCACTGAGGGGAATTATTCACAACAGGAGCGATAGACAGCAAGAATACATTCAATTCCGACAGCACTAGGGTGAAGGTGGTTGTGGATAGAATTCCGAGTAAGGTTTTCAGTCAGCGTGGGAAGACAAGAGATAGGTGGGAGGAAGTTTTCAGATGGAGAGGAGAGCAGCGCGATGTGAATGCAACCGACTTTTATGCTGGAGACAACTTTTCTCTTTTCATTGACCTCGGAAGTATGAGGGACAATAATTTTCAAGGTTCAGGATTGAGATTGGTGAATACGAAGGAAGGAGGTTAGTTCGCAATTAACAGGAAAGCATCGGGTTCAGGGAATGTGAAATGCCACATCCTCATCCTTGCAGATGCTCAGCTCAACATCATCAACTGAGAGCTTGAGAGTGTGACCTATTAATGAGATATCTCTATGCTTCTCATTTACAAAGACACTGTTTTGTCACAAGTACAAATAAAGGCACACCAAGACTTTTTCATAAGAAAGAAATCACATGATAGGAAGCATCTTCACTGAGACGACCAGATCTGCCTATGGCATGAAGGAGTGAGAAGCCGCGTGTGTCAGTGACTATCCAATTCAGTTTAAATTTCAAGGGGGAAAGCTGAAGAAATTCAAAAAGAGCCAGAAACCCTTTTTTTCGTTGCCAGCGTTTTGTTCTTGTTGTTTTTGTTTTTTGTTTAATTTTGTTTTACTTTTTGTCTTTGGCAATATCATTTCTTACTTAAGTAAAGAAAAATGATAGGTTTAAAGCTTAACTCTTTCCAAAATATTTTCTAGCCCCAAAAGGACAGGTATGTGTGCGAATCCTTCTTTATGAAATATAACTTCGACGGCGATGTGAGGAACCCTTTACATACTAACTTAACTTTTTTCATATTATTTAGCTGTACGTAAGATCATGGATTCCCATGAGTGGACGTCTGGACACCTTCTGGCTCATGTTCATCAGAAGTGGGCTCTTTTAGAAATGGTGCAGCTTGAATGCCTTGTCAACGGAGCAAACGGTATCTTGGCAACCCTTTGCGCGGAAGGATCTGCTCTTGGCCACGCATGTTTTACAATCACCCTGATGGACCTCGTCCGAATGGGCAACAAAAAGGTCCTGAAACGCTACAACTGTAACGAGCTGAGGGATGCTGCTTATAATGTGACCAAGATCACCACTTTCCACCCCATCCCAAGCAAGTCATCTATGGCGAGAGGGCGCTGGACTTAGCATTTGACTTTGGAAGTATACCTGGTGGAACCATGGGGGAAACCGACTTTGACCTGGCAAAGTTCTTTGGAGAAGAAGCTCCGGTGAGGATTACACCATTAGCCTCCGAAAGCATGATCCGAGACAGGCTGATAGAGCAATTAGGTGAAGATCCGCAGTTTACAATGGAAATGGCCACTAAGATGAAAGCGCAA